CCTTAGCGTCTCCCTAGTCCTATCTGCAAGGCAGTGTGTCACACATGCTGCTCCTTCTGATCTCCTCACAGCTCAAGACCCAGATCCATCAACTCATACATCAAGTCTTCCTGATCTGTACTGCCCTGTAAGCCCCCCAGATTTTAGTCCTTCCTCCTTTGGCCCCATGGCCTTGTTTCATCATCGTTACAAGATACGCCATGTTTTCAATATGTCCGGACTGGGATTTGAGCTCCCTCTTGAGGCTAGGTCTTGCATCTGTGTAACCTCTCACACGGGGATGCCTCCCCCACCCAGAGGAGGTGAGCAGTACATTCTTATTGGACAGATGACTAGGGGGAGTGGTAAGTGGGCGGAGGAATGTGTCCAATGACTTTGCGCAGGAAGAGTGCCACTGGGTTACAAAGCAGCTGGAACAAGTGCTCAGAACCAAAAGAATCAGGGTAGGTTTTGGGGAAACCAGGCAAGAGGCCAAAAGTCACTCAGGCAGGGCCAGCTTCCAGTCAAGGTCTGCCTCTCCTTTCTCCGGCTGTTTGGGGAGAACAGGAAGTGGAACCAGACTGCAGCGTCTGATGAGAACAGATGTTATCTGGGCCTGAATGTGGGGCATGGAGGAGGGGGCAGGGGAGGGAGGAAGAGAAGGGGGAAGGCCAGAGCCAACAAATGGAATATCCACAGACCCTCTTTATTTTACTTTTTATTATGGAAATGTTCAAACACACCCTAAAGGGAATAACGTAATGAATCCCCATGTGCCCAACACCCAGCTTCCACAACCACCCCTATTTTGCTATTCTTATTTCATTCCCCCCCTCAATGTCAAAATTCCAGACATTATATCATTTCACCCATAAGTATTTCAGAAGGTATCTCTTACATATGAGAACGTTTCTTATTAAAAAAGAACCCAGGGGGCGCCTGGGTGGCTCAGTTGGTTAGGCGACTGCCTTTGGCTCAGGTCATGATCCTGGAGTCCCGGGATCGAGTCCCGCATCGGGCTCCTTGCTCGGCGGGGAGTCTGCTTCTCCCTCTGACCCTCTTCCCTCTCGTGCTCTCTATCTCTCATTCTCTCTCTCTCTCAAATAAATAAATAAAATCTTTAAAAAAAAAAAAAAAAAAGAACCCAGGGCTGCCTGGCTGGCTCAGTCAGAAGAGCATGCAATTCTTGATCTCGGGGTCATGAGTTCAAGCCCCACCTTGGGTATAGACACATTATTAAATAAATAAATAAACTTAAAAAAAAGAACCTCAATATCATTATCACACTTAAGAAAATTAACAATTTATTTTTTTAAGATCTTATTTATTTATTTGAGAGACAGAGAGAGAGAGCATGAGCAGGGCAGAGAGAGAGGGCGAGGCAGACACATAACCGACGGAGCCACTCAGGCGCCCCCAAATGAAAAATTTCTTAATACCATCTAATACAGGGCGCCTGGGTGGCTCAGTCGTTAAGCGTCTGCCTTCAGCTCAGGTCATGATCCCAGGGTCCTGGGATCGAGACCCGCATCGGGCTCCCTGCTCGGCGGGAAGCCTGCTTCTCCCTCTCCCGCTCCCCCTGCTTGTGTTCCCTCTCTCGCTGGGTCTCTGTCAAATAAATAAATAAAATCTTTAAAAAAAAATACCGTCTAATACAAAGTCCATGTTCAAATTTCCTCACTTTTCTCAACAATGCCCTTTCTTGCCCATTTATTCAAACCAGGGTCTAAACAAGGTCCATGTGTTGCATTTGGTTGCTATGCCTCTCAAATCTCTTATAACCTCTAACGGTCCTTCCTTCCTGCCTTGTGATTGCCATCGTGCTTGTTGGAGAAACCACGTCCTTCGTCCTGTAGAATGATCTCCCTGTTGACATGCTGGGCTGAACCCTCACAGTGTCATTGGACATGTTCCACTGTCCCCCATTTCCTGGATCCTGGTATTTAGATCTAGAAGTGTGGCCAGTGTAGGGCCAATTACTTGGGCAAGCAGACTTCCTGGGTGGTGCTGTGTCCTTCCTATTGCATTCCAGCAAGAGCACTGAAGGTCAGGTTTTCCCTTTTGGGGTGATACTAAAAATGATCAGTGTCCCCAAGCTGATTACCCACCCGGGTGAAACCAGCTGGGCATCCACCAGGGGAAACAAGGAGGCCAGTGTACCCACCAGTAGTGAGCAAGGAAGCGGCCGTGGGGACACAGGTGAGTCGGACAGTGGTCCAGACCCCGGGGAGTGGAGGGGATGGCCAGTCCAGCACCCTATCTGCCCCCCCTTTTAACAGAAGAGAGAGGCCAGGGAGCTGTTGTCTATTGGACAGGTAGTACCTGTGCCAAGAGCTTTCTGTGCAGCATCTCAAAACAGCACAGCACACAACATAGAAGTCACTGTGTCTATTTTACTGGTGCGGCCAGTGCATGGTGGAGTAACCTGCCCAAGAGCATAGAGCCAGAGTAGAAAGGACAGTAGAGCTCTCCCGACCCTCCAGAGTCGTCCCACACTGAGGTGACCACTGCAGAGCCAGGCGGCCTCAAGCCTTGGTTCTGGCACCTCTAAGCCCTGTGACCTGGACCATGGGCCTTCTCTCTCTCTGCCTCAGTCTCCTAATCTATCAAATGGGAATAATACCTGCCCAAGGGGCACCTGAAGACCAGTACAGGGTGGTCCAACCTTGTCCCTCTCCCCTGTGGCCGGCCCTGCCTGTGGGGCCCACGTGGGTCACATCAGTCCACAGTGCAGGCAGCTTTCTACTCTCCCATACAGACCCGCAAAGGGTTAAATCCAGACACCCCCCCCCTCCTCCATCCCAATTCTGATCCTTGCTGACTCTGCTCCCCCTCCCTACCACAGCTATTCTGGGACAATGGAGGCAGCAGATGGCCCGAGTCCTGTTCCCTCCACCCGACCCCCAGGATCTGGGAACAACCCGCAAATCTCCTGCTGTTGCTTCTAAAAGCAGGCCGGCCGGCAGCCTTCCGGGTACGGGGTGGAGAGGACAACAGCTGTGGAGCACACCCAGTCCATCCCCCACCAGGGCTGCAGGGCCAGGGCCACCCCTACTCCGTTCATGGCCCACAAACCCAGCATTAGCTTAGCCCAGAAAGAAAGGAGGCTTTGCAAGAGCCCAAGCAGCCCGACTCTGCACTTGACCTGCTGTGTGACCACAAGCACATGGTGGTCCCTCTCTGGGCCTCAAGCTCCTCCGTGGAAAACCAGGGCTGAGGCTCTGGTGCTCTATGGTTCAGGCTGTGCCAGACAGAGTTGCATGAGGGACAAGGTGGGGTATCATTAGCTGGGGTATCCAAGGGCCGGAGGGGGTGCACTCCAAGGAGCCCCCAGCCTTGGCTGCCTGGCTTATCCCTCGGGAGCTCTCCTCTGTCCTCCCTCCTATCCCCATCCCAGAGCCCCATGGTGGCCAAAACTTCCCACATCACTGGGAAGGATGCAAGGGGAGAAGAGGCATCCCATCCCTAAGCCTCCCCAACCTCAGCACCAGCATTCCTGAACTTCTACCATGACTGTTTTCATTCATTCAGGCAGCCTCTTGGGGACCTGCGATCCTAAGCATGTTTGCATTGATTCATCTCCTACCCCGGCTGTCAAACTGCCCCTTTCTCTGACACACCAGAGGCTGACTCCCTCGGCTGTGTCTCCACTCTGCCTCTCCCAATTCTCTGGCTACCCCCAACCCAGGCTCCAAGGGCAGAGAAAAGGAGAAGTAGCTCCCAGCCCACTAGCACCACATGGCACACACCCAGTCACACGTGGATACATTGTACACACGTGTGTGTGACGTGAGCACCAACACACACATCCACCGCACGTGTCCTTATGCACAGATCTGTGTAGAAAGCGGACACATCACCCCACACAGTCACGCACACCCTCACACACCCCGGCTCACCGTTGACTCAAGCACTCGCTAGAACAGTCACTGCTCACGGAACCCTTCCTTCTCCGTGCCAGACTGTGCCAAGCCCTTCACGAACGCTCTATCATTTCACCCAGATATCAACCCACAGAGAAGGGGTTCCTACCCTCCTCTATAAAATGGGCATACAGGCCAGAGAGACGGAGTGGATGCTTCAAGGTCATGCATACAGCCAGCAAAGGCAGAGCAGGGGTATCTGGCTCGGGACCCAAATCAACACCACCCATCACCACTGTGACAGGCCGATCTAAGAGCCCGCCCCAGCCAGGAACACACTGACTGCATGTAACGGAAAACTGGACCAAGAGAAGTTGAAACAAGTAAGGGTTTAATTTTCTCACAGAACCAGATGCCAAAAGGGACAGGTGTGCCTGATTGTCATGGCCTTTCCTTCATGATAACAAGACAACCGCCCCAGATCCAGACATCACATCCACATTCGCAGCATAAAGGTATGGGGTACGGGACTGCCAAGTCTTCCCCAGAAGCCTCTCTATTGGCTTTGTTTAATTCGCACTAACAGACTGAGCAAGGGAGGCTGGGAAAGTGAGCCAAAGGATCGTCACCAAGGGCTGGGATCCATCATGATCCACCATCAGGGTCTGGGCACGCTGATAACTCCAAGCAAAATGGGATCTGTTGGCAAGGGGTCGGAGCAAGGAGCTAGACACTGGTCAGCAATGACAGCCCCTGCCACAGACCCCGGGCTCTGCCCTTATTCCACCTGGGTCCCCTCAGGGGTTGGGGAACAAGCCAAGGGAGCCAGGAGTGGGTGGCCCAGTGCTTGACCCCAGGGGAATGACAGAGACCAGAGCTGAGGGTGGAGGCCAGACCCCACCCGAGGGCCCATGTAATTCTCTGGAGGGTTAGGACCCCTGAGCCCCAACCCAGTTCAAGGGCCCTCCATGCTTGTTCAATTCAGCCACCCAAGGCCCATAGAAGACCAGCCCCTCGGGCCTCTCTGGCCCTCGCCTGGTGTACCTGTTCTCTGGGTTGTCCAACCCACCTCCCAGGGGCTTAGGACGCCTTCACCGCCAGCCACCATCCAATCCTGGGCTGACCCACAACTCAGAGGCCCTGCCAGGGACTCCCTACCAAAGAGCACTTGCCACGAGTCCCCAGGGCTGCCTGGGGAGGCCAAGGACAGCCAGAAGCCTCAGCCCAAACTTTGCCCAGCCGTTCAGGGTTCATCTGGCCATCAGCTGTGGGCACCAAGGAGTATCTGGGTAGAGGAGACAATGGAGGGAACGGAACCTGTGGAGAGACCAGAAATGGACAAATGGTCACCTGACTCCCACGCTCACTCCACAGGTTCCTGGGAGAGCACATGTCACAGAGACGGTTTGGAGCCGGATTTCTCCCCCTCGGCACTCTTAAAACTTAGGGCCAGATAAGTCTTGGCCTTCGGGTGTCCCGTGCATTGTCCAATGTTTAGCAGCACCCCTGGTCTCTACCCGCGAGAAGCCAGGAGAACCCCCCTGAGTCGTCACAATCAAAAGTGGTTCCGGACGTTGCCAGATGTCCCCAGGGGGGTGGCCCCTCATGAAAACCACCGGTTCAGAGAGACTTCAGAGGCCAGAGATGCCACAAAGAGACCCCAGCTGAGGCCAGACTATCTGATCACGTGTATCTGAGTCCCCAGTCGGCTCCAGCCCTATTAGGCAGGAACCTTTGGATTCTAGAATCTTCGGGCTCAAAGAGAATTTCCCATCCACTCTTAAACCTCTTGGTAGTCTAGCCATAACTTGTGCCCTTCCACCGATGAGGAGCTCACTCCAAGAGAAGGCGATTCCTTTCATCTCAGAAATGTGAATTTTTTTTCCTATATTGAGCCAAACTCTGTCTCCTTGTAATGTCTAACTTGTTCAACACAGCCCTGGCCCCAGGGCCCCTTAAACAGTCGTGAGCTCTCTGCCCCCGACAGACAGCTCTGCGGGACTTCAGAGCCAGGAGTCCTAGTTCCCCCAAGGGTTCCGTACTCCAGATAAATCCGAAGGCCCGACAGAGCCCCCAAGGCCTTGGGGAGTCCCCTGCCCCCTCTCCTCCTACATCTCAGCCACAATGGCTGCCGCTACTTCCTTCGGGCGGGCCTGTCCTCCCACCACAGCGTGTCACAGGCTGTGCACCTAGATGCTCTACAGCAGCCAGGCCTGAGCGGAACAGCCTCAACCTCCCTGTGGCCTGTGTAGCGACAGAACCGGAAGGTGCCTCGGCGCCATTTTAGCCTCCTTTCCAACCATCTACCTACTGAAAAGAACCACTGAAGAGTATCAGAGACACAGAGAGCCTACAAAAGCTCAAATAAAAATTTCCCATCGGGGCCTGAAGTTCTGCCCTTAGAGCATCTCCTTTGCCCAGTGAAGACATTCCAGTGTTCCAAGGGCTCCTGAAGAACCCCAGAGGATCAGGGCTGGGAGAGCCCTTCAGATCCATGACACCCAGCTCCTTGTGTTACAAATGGGGAGGCTGAGGCCCAGAGAAAGCAAGGTATTTGCCCAAGGTCACACAGCAATCCCGGGGCAGAGCAGAGACTGAAATCCCCTCCCTCCACTCCTGGCTCCGCGCTGTCAGCCTCCAGGGCTTACCTTCCCTCCAGGTTCCCCTATGCCTGGACTCAACCCCTCCTCCAATCCTGCAGTTTGAGCCCCCAGACTCACCTGGAAGGGTCCTCCTTAGGGGAGAAGGGGCCTTGTAGCTTAATGACATTGAGCTTCTCCTCAAAGACGCCATAGCTGAGGGTGACCTGGGCAGAGAAAAGCAGAGAAGAAAGTGAAGGTTGGCGGGGTGTCCCGCTGGGGACCCCACAAGGGGGCGGTATTGGGCCAGAAGCAGGGAAGATCCATAAGACATTCTGAGGGGCGCAGAGAGCCTGCCTTGGCCCCTGAAATTCCACCCTGAGCACTCACTGAGGAGCCCACCCCACTCCGCAAGGCGCTTCAAGCTTGTAGGGCACTATCGTGCCCAGACCCTATTTGCTTCCCCAGCTATCCACCTCACCTGAGAGGATGGAACGAGTCCCTTGCCTATAGACTACGAAACTGAGTCTCAAGAGGGGAAGGCACCGCTCCAGTAAAGTCCATGCCTGGACAGAGGTTTCCTGAGACTCACCATGGGGTCTTCACACTCCCTCTCTACCCAGAGCCTTGGGTTACTCCACATACAATGAGGACATGGGATAACGCCCCTCGTCAAGAGGCAGTGGACCACAGTAGTTAAAGACTGTGGACTTAGGGGCCACCTGGGCAGGGTTCAAATCCCCCCTCTGCCTTATGTTAGCTGTGCTATGTTCAGCTCTCTGGGCCTCAGTTTCCCCACCTACAGAATGGGAATGTTAGTGCTGACCTCATGCAAATGCTGGAAGGAAACAGAGTTAAAGCAAATAAAGCCACCCCAGCACGGTGCCTTGTGTGGTGGGTATTCTGAAAATCCAGCCATTAGGGTACCTGGTTTTGGCTGCCCAAAATCTGCCCCCTTGTCCTGGCTTCAAGCCTTGCGGTCTTATTGGGGCCAACCCTACACCCCAGTTCCAGGCCTGGCGAATCAACACTAACTCTTGGCCCTGGTAGGAAGCGGGTCATGTGACACAAGCAGGCCTTCCAAGCAATGAGCACCAGCCCTGGAATGTGGCAGGAGGAGCTCTCCTCCTGTGGGTGGGGTGGAAACCTGGAGCTGCCATCTCGCCTGCCTGTGGGTAAGCCCAATGTCAGGGAAGACAGACCAGAGTGGGGACAGTCTGAGCACGCAGACTCAGCCAGAACCAGCAAGGCGGCCCCCAGCTTCTCAGGCTCATGAGCCCATACGTGTCCTTGTTTGTTCGACTGGTCTGTGTTGCATTTGTGTCCCTTGCTGCCAAAGTGTTCTGACTCGCACTGTTGGGTGAAGGATCCCGAGGGCCCTCCCAGCCAGGATCCCTACGGAACGGGCCACCCATGAGTAGGAGGGCTGTGTGTGCAAGGCAGAGCCAGCTGGAACTCCGTGGAATCATTGTTTGCCAGGTGGTAGAATGGGGTGCCCCTCCCCCAGCCAGACATTATGCCTGAGGTTTCCCACTAAGCACCTGCTCTTTCTCAGCAACATCTGGGTTAGAAAGAAAGCAGGGGGGCAGCAGACAGGTAAGCTTTGGTGAAGGCAGGACAACTGACAGGCAGAGTTGGAAAGGGCAGGCCTGACCCCTTTGGAGGGACGTGGGGGGGGGGGTGGAAGACGGAAGAAGGAACAGAGAGACAAGAGGGAGCAGAGCAGGTAGGGAGGGGAGTGGTCTGAACCTGAAGGCAAGCTTCACCTGGTCTGTGCAGGTCGTTCCAGCTGGCGTTCGGGGACCAGACCAAAGAATTTGAGCATCACAAACGCTAACCCTTGCGGGTTGGAGGTGGAGAGGGCTGAGTCACTGTGGGCCCGTCCGAGGGTCCTTTCCCACCTTGAGCCTCAGTTTCCCCATCAGTATGGGACAGCCCTCCCCCCACACATCCTTCCCCCACTGCCCCGGGGCCAGCTCACCTGCTCTGGGAGCTGGGCAGCCCCCAGCAGCTGCAGGGTCTCCAGGTGGGAGTGGAAGAGGGGGCTGGGCTGCAGGCGGCCACCTAGCTTGCACTCGACAATGTAGCCCACAGTGCAGTCATCAGGCAATCGGATGAGGGCAGACGTTTCCACGAAGCGGGAGCCGCTGAGAGACAGAGCCGTGCTGTGGCCACTGGCGCAGAGCTCCCCCTGCCTCCCAGAAGGCCCTCCCTCCACCGGGGTCCATGGGCAGAGCAGAGCCTCTTGTGCACTGGGTGACTTCGGGCAGGCCACAAACCCGGGGAGCCTCAGCATCCTCTTCTGTGAAATGGGCATGAGAATGGCCGTGCCCTCACTGGGCTATTGTGAAGATTAAGTGGAAGAATGGCAAGAAGTAGCCCTTTATAAATGTATCCCTTCCTCTCTTTACATTCATTCACTCATTCATCCATTGCTGAGCCTCGAGGAGCTACCCGGAGCCAGGTACCGGGCTAGGGCTGCAGATACAGAGATGAGAAGAAAAAGTGTCCTGCCCTCGACAGCAGCCCTCATTCTGAGGGGAGACAGTGAACAGGTCATTTCAGAGTAGGACTGGCACTAAGTCAGAGGGAAGCATGAGGCCTGGGAGACACAGGGAGGGTAAGGTGGGCTTCCCAGAGGAGGTGGCAGTCTTTTGTTTTGCTTTTTATTTAATCATGACAATGGCAGGCTTTAAATAGAGTCTTACAGGATGTGTTGGAGTCAGCCAGATGTGGAGGAGGGAAGGGGCAGTGTCCCAGGGAAGGACATCACCGGACTGCATGCCCCATGAACATCCCTGGGGGCCAGTTTGGGCAGGCCGCGCCGCTGCACAGAACGCCTCCCTGAGAGGCTCAGTGGGTGCAGAAACCCAGCCTTCCCTTCCCACCCCAGGCTGTGCCCTAGGGTTGCACCTGCCCAAGGGGGGTACCTTTTCCAATTCACACAAATATACCATAAAGGTGGGCAGAAGCCCGGATGGGGGCACTGGGCACAGGGAGGACCCCTGGTCACGTGTACACACCTGCTGTGGACATGTCCTAGGACAGCACTACCACTCCCAACTGGGGCCCGAGGTCCCCCCGGGAGGACCCCTCTCGTCCAGGTCAGAGCACGCCAGGGTGGTATAGTGGCAAAGCAGACAGGCCTTGGAGCCAAACCCAGCAGCTGAGTGACCTCGGATCTGGGTGACCTTGGACCAGTCACTTGCCCAACCTCTCACACCTCGGTCTCCTTAGCTGTGGAAACAAGGCTGACACACCTTCTTCCCCAGTGAAGTGCAGCCCTGGCTCAGAGTCAGCCCCCAAAACAAGGTAGCGACACGGATGTTGCTGCTAATAACAACATCCTGTCCAGGCAGATCTCGAGAGGCCAGGCCTTTGCCACTTCCTCTCTAGAATACCAGTACCCTCATCCCATACTGGGGGCTTCCACCACCCCAAGGAACCCCTTCATTCGGGGACCTCTAAGGCTATCCCAGTTCAAAGGCCACCCCTTCCAGGAAACCTTCCTTCTGTCCCTAGGCAGAAGGCCCTACTTCCTTCCTCTGAATGCCTCTACACTTGGCCTTCACCTCCCCTGTGACACTGGGGACCGGGTACCAGCCCAAACATTTTCCCATTTCACCCTCACACCAACCATTAGCGATCATATTATCAGGTCCATTTTACAGATGGGGTCACTGAGGCTCCCAGAGATTATACAACTTGCCTGTGTGTGGCAGAGTGCCCTGAGGGCAGGATGGCAGGTGGCTTGCTCACCACTAACTGTGTAACTCTGTGACACAGCATGAATGAGAGGCAGTTTCTCCTGAGCTCACTCTTAAGCCCTTCCTGCTGCAAAGCCCCCCACACATACCAGGCCCTACTCTCCCCCACCCGCCGGTGGGGCTTTGCTTACCTGGCCCACGGGGCCATCTTCAAAGCCAGTTTGCGATTGATGCAGAAGCCAGCACCCCCGGTGGCAAACCAGAACTGTACCAGCCTCTGGCGGGAGAGGTGGGGAGAGCCAAGGAGCAGGGTGAGCCTGGGGGTGGGGGCAACGCCCGGGCCCTCCCTCACCCCCCAACCAGCATGATTCAAAAGCTTTTCATTTCACATTTCACTAAAGTCTTGCGACAGCCTGACATTATTATGCCCATTTTACAGACAAGAAAACCGAGGCCCAAAGTCACATGGCTAATTATTAATTCATTAAATTAATTAAATTAATTAATAAATTAAAAGTCACCAATTAGACCCCAGTCTGGCTGGATTTCAGTTAAAGAGACTACGTATCCTATTTGTCCACCCAGCACACCTTACCCCTTTCCCCAGCGGAATGCCTCTACCTCACCCCAGGTGGTTCGGGGCGGGGGGGCTGCCAAATACAGCATCTGCTCCCCTGGGCCACAAGAGGTGGGGCAGGAAGGGTGGATCACAAGGCCACACCCCCTGAGCCCGTGATTGGCTCAGTGACGGGAAATGACTTAGGCCAGCCAATCCGAGTTCTTCCCTGAGCTCCCTAGGCTACCTAGGGGGAAGAGCTGCTTTCCACAGAGTCACCAGTCTTGGCAGCGGTAGTCCCAAAGCCCCCGGTGCCAAGCCACCTGTACTGGCCTCACCACTTCCAGGTCCTGGGACTGAGAAAACTCTGCACAAAGAAAGATGGCGGCCGCTCGCAGAGTAGAGAGAGAATGACGGCCCCAAGGCCAGCAAACCCCTTGACCTCTCAGTCTCAGGAACCAATAACCTCCCTTGGGGTTTAAATCACTTTCTGCCCCTGCCTCGTCAGTGAGGCCTCGTGAAGTCACAGCTCATGAATTTCTCTAAGGCTTTTGGCAAACCCTGCTCCCTTTCCGCTGTACTATATCTTGACCAGCGAGTTCCCTACAGTTACCTTCTCCCAAGTACATAGTTGGTGCTTAACTGATGCACGGTGCATGGGGTTGGGTTATCTCCCATGATGCAACAGTAAGAAGAATCCAGGGCAGGAAACTGGGAAGCCTGACTCTGGGGCCTCAGCCTCCTCCACTCCTCCCAGCTGTGTGACCTTGAGAAAGTCTCTGCTCCTCTCTGGGCCTCAGATTTGTCACCTGTGAGCACTTCTGCTCCAGTGCGGCCAGCCCTGTGTCCTCCTCCTAAAGATCTCTATGAGCTGCTTCTCGAAACGCCTCCCTCTTAGCTAGAGGTCAGGCCTCGAAGCAGAATGAACGGGTTCTTAAGGACCTGACACACAGGAGGTGCCCAGTGAATGCTCGTTTAATGACCTCCAGGCCCAGGGCTTCTGTTCCCAGATAATTAAAGGAGCGACGGCATTAACAGTAGAAGTGCCTATGACCCTGAGCACTGCTATACGGCATCCTGGGCCACAGACGAGGTGACGAGGTGCAGAGAAGGGTGGTCACCAGCCTGAGGTCCCAGAGCTGGGACTGAGCCTGAGCCAGAACTCTTGCCCCCTTTTGCTGTTCCCCTCCCCCAACCACACAACCCGGGGGGTATCCCAGAATCCAAACAGGCTGGGACACTTTGGGGCAGAGTCTAAGGATCCTGCCGATGGAGTGTGTGCAAGGAGGGTGTTAGTGCACGTTGTGGGGTCAGGGCCTGCGTGTACTCAACAGGTGCTGAACCTGCCCAGTGAGCAGGAGGCCGGGGGACGCAGGTGTAGCTGGGTTGGGTACCAATCGCTGACACTTACTAGTGTCATCACGTGCCAGGTCCCATTCCAAGCACTTGGGTAGGTGACCTCATTGAATTGTTCCCTTTTTTGCTCACAACCACCCTATTAGGTGGGGATGGTTATCACCCATTTTGCAGACGAGGAAACTACGGCACAGAAAGGTGGGGTGACTTGAGCAAAAGTCAGGGAGCCAGGAGGTGGCAGATGGCATGTGAAGCCCGGAAGCCGGGCTCCAGAGCCGCGTGCTCAACCCCTACCGCCAAGCATGTGGTGGTGTGCGGGCCTGGGGCACCCCTCGCTCACCTGCAGTCAACTCACACACACACCCCCAGGGCCCAGGAGGATTTAATTAGGGCTCAGAGGCCGATTAGCCACTGATAATTAAGGTTGTGTGCTTCCTGCTCTTGGTTTCCCTAACGCAGCAGATGGTGAGCCGGGGAGGCAGAGAGCCCCACTGCGGGCCCAGCTCCTGCGCCACGTGCTGCCTCTAGGGAGGGGGGGCCCCCTGACTAGCCTTTTCCCTGGGGCCAAGGGAGCCCCCTAGGGGCCTGGGTCACACCAACACCAGAAGCCTGGTGGGTCCTGGGGACCAGGAGAGAACCGTGCTCCATACTTATGCTACAGAATTCTTCCGTGTTTATCTGCAAGTTCAATTTAACTATTATCCTGATTTTTGGTTTATTTGTTTCCTAAATCTCACAACCCTCACTAGCAGCCATCTAGGTCTGGAGCTGAATGAAGCTGGTGCTAGGGACCCCATTGTGCCCAGGTGTCCCCTCTTTAGTTGCTGGTCAGTGAAGTCTGGAGAAAGGAGGGGTGCAGAGGGGAGGGGAGCGCTCAGGGGCTGGGGGGCAGCGCAATTTACCGCGCAGCCCAGCAGTATCGGGCATTTGAACAGCCTGTACAACTACATGACAATACCAGGGGCTAGGAGCCCTGCCATGGAGTCAGGCAGCCTCAGCTCAACCCCCCAACACACACCCCCCCCACCCCACACACCCCTGTCACTGCGTGACCAGAATGAGCCCCTGCTCCTCAGTGACTGGGGCCCTCCTGTGTGCCAGAGTCTGCGCCTCACTGCATTATCTCAGTCTCTCCGTTTCAGAGGAGAAGACAAGATCGGTGGCAAAGTCACCAACCCAAACACACAGCAAGGAGACCAAATGAGAAAGTGGGAAAACCCACCTGACTCCGCAAGGGCCCTGGCCCCGGCCTGGCCCCGCCCCCCGGCCTGGCCACAGCCAACACCCACGGCCAAGGCACGAAGGAGGAAGGAAGGGACCCACCGTGCGGTTGTGGGGCCTCGGCTCAGAAGCGCGGATAGGCCGGTTCAGGCTGGGCCGGCCTACGTAGACATCGTGAGTCTGCGGGAAGGCTTTTAGCAGCTTCAGCAGTGCCCTTGGGTTCACATAGTTGTCGTCATCCACGTGGCAGAACCACCTGTGAGGACAGAAGGGGGATGGTAAGCTTGGAGGAGGGTTCCCAAGGGCCACCAGCTAGCCAGACTCCCCCATGCCCCCCATAATCAGTCAACAAAATTTGGCAGTGAGAGTAGCTAACACTGAAGGCCCATGCTCTGAGCCTGATAGCATCTTGTGTGAGCTCCCAAGGAGAGTGTGCCCACTTAACAGGTGGGGACCGAGGTTCAGAAAGGTTAAGACACTTGCCCAAGGTCACACAGTCAGGATATGGCAAGACTTGAACCCAGACCATCTTCTGCCCAGAGACAGACCCCAGGAGGCCCTTACATGATTAAATTCACAGGACCCAGCCGACTTCATTTTTTGACACAACACCCTATTCAGGAACTAGCCTGAGGCAAAGGTCACACCTGGCCCCAGAGACCCAGGGGCACTCACCACAGCCCACGGGCCAAGAAGGTGTCAAACTCAGCAGCCATCTTGCAGGACAGGGCGGGGTGGCTGTGCTCAGCAGAGCAGTTGGTGACCACAAGGTGGGACCCTGGAGAAGCGGGGACAAGTCAGGGGACCCTACCCAGGTCCTCCCCACAGCCCGGCACACCATGAGAATGCAGAGCAAGACTTCAGCCTGGAGCGGCCCACCCATTCCCATTTTACGCATGGGGAAACTGACCAGGGAGGGCTGACTCCCCAGGGCCCCAGAGCTAATGAACAGGAGGCTGGGCTGGGACCCACGAGTCCAGGGTACCGTCCAGAACAGCCCCTCCTCACACCCACACCCGCTTCCAGGGAAGAAGCCTGCTCCCCTCCTGGGCAAAGGGGAATCCCCACATGCCAAGAGAGGGCAGCCCTGTTTCTTGGGGACCCCAGGCCAGGGGACAGCCGCCCCAGCTTTCCCTGGAAACAGCTGAGGGGCCCCACCTGGACTTACCCAGTCTCTCCTGGAGGCCTTCATCTGAGCTGTCGGTGAAGACAAACGTCTAAGGAGAAAGAGGAGTCAGGACCGGAGTCGACCAAGGACAGCCCGCAGGCACGCCCCTGCTGAAGCACCTGTCAGAGCTCCATCCTCCGGCAGTGACAGACACACCCCCTCCCAACATCATCACACACTCCTTTCAGACACCATGACTTTCTCAGCTACTCCCCTGACAAGACACACAACACAGCCTCACACCGCACACCAGCGACCACGTCACTTGCACGAGTACCCTTGCAGACCAGCGCCCATGGGGACCCTCCCAGAGTCACACCCTCTTCTATCCCACACACATACACACACTGCAGTCCCACTCGGCCCCTCCATCACCACACGTACACAACCTGAGACACTTTGTCAGGGCACAGACTCTGCGTGGAAAGACCCACACCCTGGGACAGCACAGCTGCTTGGGGAGATGGCCATGGCTTTCACAGCCACACAGACTCCCTGGGCAGGTGCAGGATCCTTACGCATCTCAGAAATTTTACATCATGATCCAACCCCAGCTCTCCCAGATTGCAGAAGCAGCCCACCAGCGGCTTGCACAATTCCTGGTCCCTGATGACCTCACTGAACCTCAAGACAGGTGTCATAATCTGTCCCCTTCGCAGATGGCAAGACTGAGGCTAAGGGACAGGTTATGGTTGTACAGTTGGCAACTGCTGAGCTGGGATTTGGACCCACAGGCCCTGGATCTCTCCTCACCACGCCCCAGGCAGGTAGAGGCCACTCAAGCCCTAGATAAATTGAACACAAACTGAATGAGAGACGAATGAGAAGCAGCTTGTGGCAAGACAGACGCACAGCCGGGGACCCGTCTAACCCCCATTCCACACCCTGCCCAGCACATGCACCTTTCCCTGCCTGAGCAGGTCCTCTTGTCCGCCAAGCACAGCGAGAGCCTCCTCTGACCCTTAGGTGGCCCTGTCCAGGGCCTGGACAATTTTGAATTCTTTCCAAGGGAGGACCAAGAAGAAAGCACCCCACCTGTTGAAAGGCCCTCAACATCCCCATCCCTCACTCGGGCCACCCTGGGGCTGGCCCTGTCCTCCTTCCAGACTCAGGGCCTCCAACGGCATGCCCCTCCCTGCTCAGCCACAAACTTCTCCGTGGTTTCCAGGAACTAGCCCTTCAGATCAGATCAGCCCCTGCTTTGAGCCTCAGTTTACCTGGCCGGAAAATGGGGGCGAGCAGTAGCTGTGACAGTAAAGTGAGATAATGTGAGAAAGAAGAAGAAAGAGGTGGCAGCGAAGCCAGGCTCCGCTTCTTATCTCGGGGGAAACTGAGGCTCCAGAGACCAGAAGCCAGGGTTGGGCACAGGAAGGGGCACAAGGGAATGAGTCCTGTCTCCCCAAGAGTCCACAACCATGGGCCTTCTGAGCCATTATCTTTCAACGGATTAGGGCGAGACCTTCAGATCTCTTTTCCTGTCAGGACCAGAATCAGATAATACCCATACCCACCACCCCGCCTAGCACCTTCTGTGGCTCCCTACTGCCCTCAGGATAAAGGCCAGCCTCCTAAGTGTGGCCATGAGGGGCCACCCAGCCCCTGTGCCTGATGCAGCCTATCCCACCACTTCCTGCCCCACCCCTTCTCTTAAATCCAAAGGTCTTTCAGTTCCCCAAATGTGCCACACACATGCACACCCCTCTGAGCCTTTGCACAGGCTGTGCCCATTTCTTGCCCCCAACTCCTAGTTCAGTCATCACTTCCTCCAGGAAGCCTTCGCTGACACCCCTCCCACGTGCCCCTCAGCCACCTGTTCCTGCTGATGGTAAGTAACAACAGCCCCTTGGTAATGAAAATCTATCCTTTGGTCTCTCCCACCAGACAGTGACATCCTGAAGGGCACAGGCCTGATCTGATTTATCTCCCTGTCCAGGAGACCTGGGCAGCATCCACTTCCTGAGCCCCCCTCCCTGGGGTGTGTCTCCCACCTTCAGATTTAGCTAACACTGGAGGTCCCTGGATGTCGCTGCAGAAAGTGTTGGTGGCCCGATGCTGGCCCTCTTCTCTGTCCCGCCCACCGCCTCAGTGATGCTCTCCAGCCCCTCGGCTTTCAGCAAGAAGCCATCAAACCCCACGGCAGCCACAACTTCTCCCCGGGTGCCTCAGACTCAGTGCCCCAGCTCCTCCTGGACCTATGCTCCTCTCGGTGCTCCCCATCTTGCTGGGACCCAACACCCTGGGGTCGCCACGCCTCCTCTCTTTCACACCCCACACCCACCCAACCTTCAAATCACCCAGGATGCGACCTCTCCACAGCAGCCTCCACGGCCACTGGTGGCCCAGCCCCTCCCTGGTCATCTCCTGCCTGCTTTGCTACAGTCACCCTTGCCCTGGTCTCTCTGCTGTCCTGTCCCCACCCCAAGTCTGTTTTCAACACAGCCCCCAGGGAGCCAGGGAAGTAAATCAGGCCTTTCTTGCCCTGCTCCCTGGGAAACTTTTGCCACCAAACATCCACCAGATAGTGGAACTCTCTGGAGTTTGGAGCATGGGCCAAATGGGCCAGGGCATGTTTGCTGATGGATGAATAAGCCCCGAATCAGTAGGGGAAGGGGGAGGGAGGGGGTCCCGCTGCAGGGCTGGGGGCTGGGCAGGGCGCACGAGGCCGGTGTTCCAGTCCCTGGGAACCCTGAGATTGGCACAGAGCGGTGGGCAGAGTTTCCTCTGAGCCAAGGGTTGCATTTAATTTGTTTAAGGAGGAGACTCTGACAATGGTTAAAACCTCACAGGAAAACAAAAGGATAGGCAGCCCGCTGGGGTCAGGCGAGAGGGGACTGGGGGCCATCTGGTGAAAAGGAAGGAAGATGTGGGGCAGGCTCTGCAGCCCTCACCCCCCACCCACCGCCCTCGAGGGGTCTGTGGGGAAGGGAAAGGCTCCCCACGGAGCCTCCCCCAGCCCACCCCCTCTGCCTGGGACAAAGGCTACACGAGCCCCAGCCTGCCACCACAAAGGCCCACCTGCCACCCGGCCGCCCTTAACCAGCTGGGGCGGGCGCCCGGCCCTGGAGTTAACTAGCTCAGGCCCACTGCTGAGGGCAGAGCTAAGAGAGGCTCAGAGACCCTCCTGTCCTGTGCAGATGGGGAAACTGAGGGCTGAAAGGGGGAGGGTCTCAGCCAAGGTCACAGAAAGAGATGCGCCAAAGGGTTGAGACAAATGAGCCCCAGATGCAGTGTGCGGTAAGCGTGTGTCTCCCTGCCTCCCCTCCTCTTCCTCGGTGTGAGCATCCTTCCTTTCCTCAACCCTACATAAAGGACAAGGTTTCTCGACTCTGCCCCTTGTGCTGGGGGTGGAGGGGTGTCGCGCAACTGAGTGAATTCATCTCCTACCTCAGCTTCACTGTGCTGTTTCCTCGCCTATAAAACAGGCCTATCGATACCTCCCACTCGGGGCTGCTGTGGGGGTTAAACAGAGTGAGGCATCTGATGGGCAGCCCCTTGGGTGCTGAGCAGTGGGCATGTGGGATTGAGCTTGAGGCACACAGTGGGTGGTTGCTTCCTCGCCTTTGCTGACCTGGTCCTGCCAGGCCCACTCAGGCTGGGGGCCCCAGGACCCTCTCCTGTGGCCCAGCGACAAGGCAGCTCTGGGATCCTGGGTCTCAGCAGAGAAAGAAGGGCCCCAGCCAGGAGGAGGGGGCTGGGTCCCACTGGGCTCTGCGCCCCCAAGCCTTCGGAGTGACGTTGACAAGCACTTCCTCCCTCTGGCCTCAGTTTCCTCATCCGGGGCAAGGGCACCACCATGGTGATCAAGACAAGGCAGGAAGGGGCCTCAGACCACGTGAGGCAGGCTCCCGGGTACACAGACGCAGCACCATAAACAGGAAGGTCTGTGGGCAGGGCCAGGCTCAGTGGCTTCCGCAGGAGGAACCAGAATCTCCCCAAGATGAGAAGCTGTGTGTGGGGGGTCCAGGGAAGAACCTGGGTGCTGGGATCCCCCTGGAGAAAGGGTTAAATAGGGTGCTAAGACATCATGGTCAGGAAATCGGGGCGTGGGGGTGCCCCTCCCCAGAAGGCCCTGGGCTCCTGCAGACATCCCCTCCCCTGCTCCTTGGCCTCCCAGGAGCCCGCAGTCCCCTCCAAAAGCCCAGTCACTTCCTCCCACTGAGCCCGTCACCACAGTAGGGGCTGTGTGTGTGTGTGTGTGCACGTGTGCGTAAAGCTAACCCTTCACCTCCCCCAGAGATGGTTCCCAACACCCCTAAATCACTGACTTTGCTTGGGGAGGGCACTGGGTCTGTGGAGGGCAAGAGCCAGAGGGACTCAGCTTGTCCCCAGAAAGACATAAGCCATACGGCCCCATCATCCACACACCTCTTGTCATAGCCCGTCTAACGAGGACACTCTGGCTCCCTGCAGGAGTGCGCGCGCGCACACACACACACACACACACACACACGCACATGCGTGCTGGGCAGACCTCTAACCTCTCCCCGCCATCGCTTGGTCACCACCGTCACAGCGGACCTCCCCCCTCCATCCGAAACTGCCCCACAGGAAAGGAGCACAGGAGATGAGGCGCCACTGCGCTGGGCACACCCCAGGTAGCAGCGGCGGCGGGGGGGTTGCCAGGAATTCTGATGCCCCCCCATCCCACCCCTCTCCCTGAACAGGCCCCCCCAAGACCTTTGCCTTCTCAGCGGCTCAGCCCCTGGTCTCCACCCGAGCAGCCCGAGCAGCCCAAGCAGCGGGACAACAGGCCTGGGCTGGGGGGCAGCCTGGCCTGGGCACACGTCCGAGTCAGGCCCCCGCAGACGCCTCTACCCCGGCCACCCTGCACCTCCCCGCTGTCCCCCTCGCCAGTCTGGGCCAAGGTGGGCAGGAGCAAAGACTGTGCTAGAAGAGCCAGGAGGGACTGAGGAGCCTAGGGCAGGGGCCCCGCCTGGCCCCTGAAAGACATGGAGCAGGGGGCCTCAGGAGCACCTGGCTCCAGGGCCAGCGAGGGGCCCAGGCCGGGCGGCAGGAGCCGCTGGTCCCCAGAGGAAGGAGGGGCGGGAAGACAAGCCCAGACTGGGCAGGTGGGCGGGCAGCTTCTCCCTGGAGGCCGCCAGGGACCCCAGCCCAACAGAAAGGCCTCCAGGAGTCCCTCAGGCCAGGGCCCACTCCTGGGGCCCGCAGTCGCCCACTTGTCACCTGTTCCCTGGTCCTGGAGACCCACGTGTCGAGCAGCAGCTCCAGGCGGGAGCGGTGGAAGGCTCGGGTCGTCTTGACTGCAATGAAGACATCGTGCAGCCGCAGCTCGGGGGACAGAGGGCTTGGCGGGCTCAGTCCGGGGGTCTCCCGCATGCTCTGTGGAAACAGGCTCGAGTGGTACCGTAGGGAGACGAGCCCCATGCACAGAACGGTGAGGAGGGCTCCCGCCAGGCCCCGGACGAGGCGGCACTGCATTGGCCCTGGGACCCCAGACAGCTCAGCCCCCGAATCCCCACCCGACAGGGAGGCGAGGCTGGTTCGGCAGGGGCCCCGGCCCAGGCAAAAGTCTGGTAGGCATCGGGGGGGTGGGGGGGGCAGGCGAGGAGGGGAGAGGTGGGAGCCGGTGCTTTGGCCGGGGAGGCCGAGCCCCGCCGCCGCCGCCGCCGCCGCCAGCCCTCCACCTGCTCCCGGCGCGCTCCCGCCCGGCTCCGGGACGCCTGGCCCCGCCCCTGCCTCCAGCGCAGCCCGAGGGGCGGGGCCGGCCCGGGGAGCCCCAGAGGTGGCTGGAAAAGGCTCTGCCAAAGGGACAGCCCCGGGGCCGGCCAGCTGCTGCAGTGGGGGTGGGGACAACAACAAACCCTCCATGCCCCATGGAAGGGAGGGGCCGCCCAGCCTCCCCACTCCCCAGGGACTGTCAGGTTAGCTCATTCAACACCCATTGTTTTACGGTGTCCTGCTCTCCAGCCTCCCAGCTTTTGCTCACACTGTACCTCCTCCTGGATGCCCTCCCCCATCCTCCCCACCGTCACCCATGTTCCTTTCACCCAGCTACATCCTACTTGGACATTAAGGCTCAGCTCAAGGATGCCCCCCTCCCAACCTCCAGGGCACCCACAGTAGTTTGCTCAGCTCCTTGGCTCTTCACAACAGCGGGAGGATTGCTAGTCCCGTTGATAGCTGAGCACATAAGGCACAGAACCATCGAAGATGACCCAGCAGCTCAGCCACAGAGCCAATCGAACCCAGGTCTCTGGGTCTCACCTGGCCCCCAGGAGGCCCCAAAGGGTGCCTGTCCTGCTGTAGCCGACCGCACCCCATCTCACTCAGCAGTCTTTATTGCTGCCTCTCTCCTAGCCAGGCCAGGGACAGAGGGCATTCTATCCAGCCACCGCCTCCATCTGGTTGGACACAAGGTCATTCACATCTCATCCTTCCTGTTAGAGCCCTGCATCTCCCATCTCCTTCAGAGCAAAAGCCCAAGATCATGCCACAGCCAACAGGTCCTGTGTGAACTGGCTCCCCATTCCCTCCAACCCCACCTCCTACTACTCTCCCCTTGCTCCTTCCACTCCAGACCCACTGGGCTTCTGGCCAGTCCAGGCACACACCCACCTCAGGACCTTTGCACATGCTGTTTCTGCCTGGGCCTTTCCCTAAAGGTCTGCACATCTCACTCCCTCACCTCCTTCAGACCTACACAAATGTCATGTTCTCCACAAGGACTTCCCAGGCCACTTTTAAAAAGTTGCACTATCATCTCTTCCCCTCCTTCCTAGCCCCCCCAGACCTGTCCTTTCCAGGTCCCTTTTTCTGCCGTGTTCTCTCCATAGCCCTTTTTATCTTCCAACACCCTATATATTTTACTTATCTACTGTCTGTCTTTCTCATGAATATATCAGGGCAGGGGGTTCTTTTTTATTCACTGAATCTCCACTGCCTAGAACAGTGCCTGGCACACCCAAGAAATATTCATTAAACACAAGAAAGTACCAGATGGCTGGTAAATTGGACTGGGCCCACTGGGGCCCAAGCCTGTAGTAGGCGTTTGGGGTGAGAGGAAAGGAGAACCAACCCTTTTGAATCACCCTCCTGTGGGCCAGGCCCATGCCAAGGCCCCTCGTGGCCCATCTTCTCAGAACGGCATCTCCGAGGGACGATCCCAGGCTTCATGCCACAGACCAGGGTTCAAATCCTGACTGGGCTACTTACCAGCTATGTGGCTTTGGTCAAGTTACTTCACCTCTCTGAATTTTAATTTCATCATTTAACAAATGGAGACAAAATTAAGACATGGTGAGAATTAAGGGGTTAGTGGGCTTCTCTGCCCAGTAAAGGGAAACCTGCCATGGGACCAAACAAAGCCAACTGCCTCACTGAGGTCCCGCAATGTCACCCAGACTCATGTCCATAGACCAAGCACTGGGCCAGGCATGCAGCAAGAAAGTGGGGAGGTCCGTTTACCCAAATGAGCATTACTCGGTCTCCACACCCAGGGAGCTCACGGCCACCCTCAGAGACCCACCATCCTGCCACAAGGCATGACTGAAAAGTCCCAAGGCCTGGCAGAATCAAGCAGGCTTCCTGGAGATGGTGTCTGAGCCAGACCTCAAAAGACACTAAGATATAGGCAGCCCCCACCCCTGAACTTGGACTTCCCAGCTTCATTTCCTACCACTCCACAGGTGGCCAAATTCAACCCATTTTCTGTCTCTGAGACTTCACTCCGGGGATTCCCTCCACCTAGTAACCCATTCCCCCACCCCAACCTCCAGGGGCTGACCCAAGTTCATCACTAGGACAGAGGGCAGCCATAGGATGACCAAGGACAGCACTTAGGCACAGAGGTCCAATAAATACTTCTTGAAGGAATCCCAGACCCTAAGCTGAAGCAGCAACCCCCGTGGTAACCCTGCCTGGACCATCCTCTTGCCGGTGGAATGGTCTCAGGACCTGATTGCGCACAGAGGGTTTGCTCGTGGTCTCCTGGACTCAGCAGCCAAGCTCCTTAAGCCAAGACCATACCCTGCTATCCTCAGTGTCTCCTCTCCAGGGGACGCTCCTCTGAGGATTAGACACAGGCAGGGCTGAGCGTGGAGGGGGCCCATCTGTAGGGCCCTTTCTTTGGTCATTCAGGGGCAGGTAAGGTGATGCCAGCAGATGGCGGGCGGCTCTGGGATGAGTCAGAAACGAAATCTGACCCTTCCCATGGGCAAGCGGGGGCCTGAGAGGTGGTATCAGCCTGATGGGGGGGGGAGGGGACGAGCCGGGGGAGTGGAGAGGGGGCCCGGGGCCCGGAAGGCGAGCAAGCAAAAGGCCACCAGCTTCTATGACAAACTGTTTAATGTTCCATAATGTGTAGAATCTGAGTGAAAAAGGCCCGTTAAAAATCAACAGGCCGTACATTCTGGTGACGGAGCAGCCGGCCTTCCCCCCACTGTACCTCTGAGAGGCGGGTCACTGCAGGGAGACGGCGCTGTGAGAACATGGTCCTCGGTGTACTCCCCGGGCACACACGAGGGTTAGTGCCCAAGTGTCACGGGACGGGGTGTGACATTTACACAGGAGAGAACCACAGACATACATGTGACGAGAAGACGCGAGGGGCCCGGTGGGCCAGGGAAACCACGGCGCCCACACGTGGAGGTATACACAAGAAACGTGAGCGGGGTGCGGGGGAGGGGCATGCCGGGCGGGGGAGGGGCTTCCTTGAACAGAAGGGAACGAGGACCCAGGAGACCTCATGTGCCTGCCGTGAGAACCTGGGTGTGTAAACCAGTGCACCGGAGTGAGAGCTCAGATGCTCCTGGGGGCAAGGAGAACAGGTCACAGACACGTGCGTGGGGCCCACAACTGGAATCACGGAGACAAGGGGCGCACTGAAGGCCCAGAGCAGCAAGTACGGGGGCGGTGGGAGCTCCGCCCCGAGGGCTCCTGGAAATTCACTCGGGGGAGAGCCCAGAGCTGGGGGCCCCACCTCTGGGAGGCCAAGGGTCTAGGAAGGCTCAGGATGAGGAGGACCCAGCTCCCACTGCAGACACCGGGGTCCGCAGCGGGGGCTTCGGAGGTGTGTGAGAAAGCCGCAGGCACCAGAAGGGGCCCCTCAGGCCTCGCTGCTGCTGCCGCCGACGCCCCCGGCACAGCTGCCGCGCTCCACCCACACGAGGCGGGCCTGCTCCTGCAGGATGCGGCCGCGCACCACCTTGGCCAGCCCCTCCGAGTGGCCCCATGCATGCGCAGGCACCTGCACCCAGGAGCAGGGCAGCCCCCAGAGCACCTGCTCCGAGCGATGGCACTGCCGCAGCAGCTCCGAGTCCCGGCAGCCGGGCCGGCCCAGCAGACCCCTGCCGAGAGAGCGGGCGGGCAGCGGTCAGAGCAGGGGCCCAGGACAGGCAGGGACACAGAGACACACCAGTTTACGGAGAGCCAGAGAGAGCACGGACAGATGCAGAGAGACAAAAAGACACAGAGACAGGGACATCCAAAGAGGAGGAAAGGCTGGTCCCACCCACCCCCACCCTTCCTTACCTGATTTCCCGGACATTCTTCTCTGTCACCTCCACGTGTATGACAATGGGGTAGATCTCGTTCTGGACCAGCTCCCGCACGCCCCGTGCACCCAGCTCCAGCAGGCAGTGCTTCTTCTCAGGAGACCAAGGCTACATTTTACTCCGGCCCGGAGACACCAACCTCCCTGCCCCCACTGGGCCCCATGGCACAGGCCCCCATGGGGGCCTGCATCCCTCTCCAGAAGGGCCTTGGCAACAAGGAAAGAGCTGCAAGGGAAGGCGGGAGGCCTGGGGAAGTAAGTCACATCCCCACTCCGGACCTCAGCTTCGCCATTGATAGGATGGAGCAAACCCCACCACCACCCCCATGCCTGGCAGCCCCTAGCCAGCCCCCCAAGGTAGCGGCGAATCTGAGACGGGATGGACGGGTGAGACGGACCAAACACCTCAAAGGTGACCCACGTTTGGTTGGCCCAGCGCTCCCACTTGCAGGTGAGGAAACAGGCCCGTGGAAAAGGGCAGGGGCTTGCCCAGCGCCCCTCAGACTCTAGCCCTCTGGCCCAGAAAGGCAGCCCCCCACCCCAGTACCTACCTTCCCGACAGACTCCTGGATGGCACGGAGCCTGCTGCCCAGCCCAGGGGTGGCAGGCTGGGCCTTGGGGGCTCCAGGTGCTGAGGATGAGCACTGTTCCTCCCCAGAGAGGCTTTCTGCAGAGAAGTGAGACGCAGGGAGGAAGGGCCAGTGGGCTTGGCTGCCCCGGGGTGCCACCCAGCCCTCCCCATCCCTCCCCTCCCCGGGCACAGGCTCACCCGCTGGGCACACTTGGAAGTCCAGCCGGGAGTTGGGCAGGTCAAGCAGGTTGCGGATGAGCCGGGGTGCCAGACACTCGGGCAAGAGCACCACGGGCCGCAGAGCGGACACCAGCAGTGGGCGCACCAGGCTGTAGGGTTTGAGGCTTCGCTCAGGCTCTGCAGTGGGGTGGGGTACAGAAGAGATGAGGGTGCAGGTAGAGTCCCCAGCTCCCCATTCCGAGGGTGGCCAGCCCCCTCGATACTCAAAACCCCATCACCTCTTCTCAAGCCCCCCATCTCTTTTCCCTTCCTAAGTCTTACTATTGCTCCTCCTGGGGG